AGGTGTCTGACCTATGAGGTGTCTCTAAAAAGTAGTGATCATTGCAGAACAGCCAATTTTCATGTTTCCGTGAGCAGCATTATAATGTCGAATGCTTTAAAGGCTTTCTTCAACATCGGTGTGAAATTTCAACTTTGTCTCTAATCCCCCTAATTTTCTTCCCACCACAGAAAGAGCTGGAAGAGAAGAGAGGGAGAAAAAAGTGAGCTGAGTATTTTAGTGAGTAGGGAGGGCAGACAATTAGTTAGTGGCTAGCACCTATAAGCTCTCTTGACTCGACTGCATCCAGCTCCAAATTATCGTCTGTGGCTAAGACTTCATGGCTTTCGTTCTGTTCCACTTGTTTTCTCCTACCTCCCAGCTCCCTTCGCGGTAATTCTCTCTTTCGATGTCCTCGTCTCTCCTCATCGCATGGACGAGACAAGATACCTCATGATTTGATCGATGGGAGCGACTCACCCGTCGAGTCTCGTGTTCTGCGGATCCGGATCCCCAACGAGCAGCCGAAAGACGGAACAGCTTCCCCGCAGCTCGTTGAAGCTCTCCGTAGAGATGCCAAGCCTTCTCCAGACTTTCCCTGTCAGCCAAAGTGATCTCTTGTTGATCATAACAGTCACTTCTGTTCAAGATCATATTTGCAAGGCTGGCATGGGAGGAATGAAATAACCTGAAATCAAGGCGATCGTGTATAGTGGATGAGGAGGCTTCAAGCACGGCCAGGGTCTCGTGTCCTTTGGATAACAGGCTTCCCAAAGAGAGAGGCACGGCTGGGAGACTCTCATTCCCCCGCAGCGCTCCCATTGCCCGCACCAGTGACTTCCCACAAGTTCGACACGAACTCACGAATGGCTCCAATATCTGTTAATACAAGAGTACTTGGTCTCAGAGATGCCCTGGTTTCTGTCTCTCTCTCTCTCTCTCTCTCCTTCACAAGGGATTGTGCAATGCACCTCGAGACGGAAGGGACCTTGCATTCCACACGAGATTCGTTCATGCTGTGGGGGAGGCTGATGAAATCCTCCAAGAAAGGAAAAAATAAACAGTAGGAGCTGGGAACCAAGTCTCTTATTGAATGCGTCCGTTTTCCTTATCATCATTACAATTATTTGCACTCACCTCGACTGTGGAGACACGGTACTTGGGAAAATGCCAAGACATAATGATATGTTGCGAATAATCTGTCATTCCATGTTCTGCCCTCATATAGCTAATTCTTGCTGATAGCTAGGCATCATTCTAGCATTACCCCTGCACCTGCTGTCCCATTCCCATCAATGCCCCATCTTTTCTGCCATTGCAGTCACCAGTCATTTCTATACGGGGATAGCGAAGAAAGTATTTCACGTCAGGCATTAAGATTCCATAATTTCGGACCCATAATGCAGTGAACTGCTCTTCTCAAGGTCATACGACTCATAGATGCTGAGGTACGCATCTGAGTAGCTAAATCAATTTGTTGGTCACCCCGTATATCCTCACGGCAGGTCCAGGGCAAGAAAGTTGCTATCGAGGATTTATTTGGTAGGAAAGCTCCCAACATCGAATCACCAAAATATTCCCTGAAAACTTTATAAAGCTACAGGTAAACAATCCCTGGAGTCTTTTCATTCCGCATTTCAATAAGGGCTTTACAAATTTCGCGCTTATAGACTATCTCTATCTGACTTTCGAACTTGTCCTGGAAGCCATCTAGGAAAAGTAATGCAAAGATTGGATTCTTGTTCATTTTCTAATATAGTAGTTTCTTCGCAGGGGGATTTGTAAGCTAGTAAATGTGGTTTTATTTCTTTGACTGATTAATGATTACTCTTGCATCATCGCGAAGTAGCCGTATTGATTCTTCTTTTGAACGCCGATTCTCCACAGAGAAGTACCTCGTGGGTCACTCTCCTTACTCAGCCCAGCGAACTCTAGCTCTTTCCATGTCTCCAGTAGTTCGATCGTCGGTCGAGTCAAAGCCCACTTTATGAAACTCAAAGATCCTCCCGATGGAGGATTCTGCCATCGTGAGGATCTTTGGCTTGGAGCCTATGCAGACACTAAATTTTCTGTATAACTTCTTTTACTAAAATCATGTTTGACTTCCTTTTGTGTGTACTGTAACTGGTAGATTCGCCTCGAATCCTGAACTTTTACAAATTCCCACAGCTGAGGTGAAAGTTGTAATGAAGAGCGTGCATTCAATGTTGTAAGAATTAAGTTCAGTAACGTTTGCAACATAGTTTGTCATTCCGCAAACATTCAGAAGCCTGGGGCTCTAATTTCCAAGGGCTCGAGGGTAGGTGCGATCAAGTGATGATCGAATAGATCACCATAACTAATGGAAGAAACAAATGGCCAACAAGATCTGGATATCTAATTTTCAATCCAAGATTTTTTCACAGGTTTGTGTTATAAAGACGAATTCTTGGCTCAAAAAAAGACGTCTACCAAGCATCAAACGTCTACCAGGCGACTGAAAAGTTGTATTAGGGTTGAACTTCAAAATCTAATGTTTTTGTTACTGTTTTGTTTTGTTACCAACAAAAATATAATGACTTATGACAAGGATGAAAAAATGAAGCTTCCCTTCCTCTCATGATCAAAACAAGGGAGACTTTCAAGGGAATCCATAAATTTTTAACATGCCTTGTACTACCCAAATCATAATTACTCATCCAAGCACTTCAACCTCACCTGAACAAGATGCCCTGAGCACAAATCCAGAGGATCGACATAGATGGACATTCATGAAAAGAGGTGTTGGGTACAAGGTACAAGAAAAGAGCCAGTATGTAACCAATTCTCAACTAGAGACAATAAATGTTATAAATGAATGCTCAACCTTGACACAGAATGTCATAAAGGAAAAAGGTGTCTCTTGACATCCCTATTTGAACCTTGAACCTATAATCTTCAATGTACAGAGTCTCTTTAGCTCAGGAAGGGGTACCTTAGTCCAAACAGAGCAATGCACCTCCACAATACTACTGATGGAGTAATGAAATTAGATGAATGTCCTGTATATTAATTTTACTTCATTCAATACATTTTATAAAGAGATGCCACTAGAGTATATAGAGGCGAGTACAAGGAGCTGATGTATACATACCAGTACCATCTTCCTATTGAACATTTGAATGAACTACATGAAAAGATTCATGTTCATATTTGGGAAATTAATAGTTGTTCTAATGCCAATGAAGTAGCTTTAAATCATGATTGGAAATCAGGAGTTTGAGAGATGGAAAGGATCTCTCTTGAATGATTGAATTGAGTAATAGGTGGAATACAGAGTTTTAATAAAAGTAAATGAAAGGCAATAGCACTTTAGATGCAAAAATTCAATAGTGCTGACAAGCTACAGTAAGCATATTCTAATTAATGAAGGTAGAGAGAGAAACCTAAAGTGAGAATTGGGGAGTCCAGAAGTCTACAATAATTGTGGAATTTAGTTAGCAAAGGCAAAGTGGTTGCACTACTCTTATATACTGTACTGTAAGGCATTGATTAAACCTACATTATAATTTTGTACTCCAGCTTTGCATCTACCCTATAAACTGAATTGAAGGGGTTCATGAAGAGTGAGCAGATTGATTAGATAAGTCAAGGGGCAGTCCTTTGAGAACAAATAACAATATCTTGACCTCGGTCCAATGAAGAGTATGCTAAATGGGAGGAGCATGATTTAGACTTTGACAATACTATGGGGATTTAGTAGAATGAACTGGGACACTATTTCACTCTTCAATGTCAATTTTTCCAATAAAGGCACATTGCCTACAATTGCACAAGCTTTAGGTTGGTAAAAATAAAAAATAAAAACTGAAATAAGGATTCTTTACAAAGGATATTTCGAGGATGGAAAAGGTTGCCACCTGATGAAGTTGAAGGAGCATTGAAGAAAAAGGTGACAGGGTATTTCAGGAATGGACTGATGGTTGCAAACAAGCATGTCTTAGAATTACTTCCATTAAACCTTTTTGAACCATTGAACCTCCCTGATATCTTATACTACTGCACCTGAACCTGAGCTTTTAAAACACTTATCAGCTAAAGTAAAAAATATAAAAATCTTGCTGGGGTACACATCCCCTTCTCTTTTTGTGTAGTTACATGTAGGGCTAGCTATTAAGGGCTGCTTATGTTTTCTTCTGTTCTTAAAATTTCCTTCATCCTCTCACAAAATTTATTGTATACACAAGTGGAATGTTTGGACGGTTAATCCTTTGTTGATCAGCTGCTAACATGCTTAAAGATTCAAGTGGAATCCACTAAGGACCTTGGGCCTCCTGGATTTGAACATCTGTACTCTATACTCTATTGTGGCAATTGATGCAGGACACATTATCAATGATCTCAAGAAATGTGCATAATGAATGTGCATCACAGCTTGAAAATTTCCTGGAGAGTAATGACATGCCTTTTTCATGCATAAGAATGACAACTGAAGAGTATTTACCTTTGCACCATGGAGCTAAGAGTCTTAGCCCTCACATGCCAAGGTAAACATTACTCAATTATCATTCTTGAGTCATAAAAGAATGAATTCCAGCTCGCCTGCACCAATGCAAATTTGTCACAATACTCACTGGAAAATAAAGAATGTCATCACATTCCACTCATCTATTATGAATAGCAGCAAGAATTTGGCTACTTATGTCTGCAACAGGTAGAGAATATGAAGTGCTTGAAGTTCATGAAGTTTGGGAGCAAGAGAAGGGTCTTGAAACTTCTTTCCCTGGTGGCAATAGGCCTACATTTGCAAAGGAATTGGTACATCTGATATCCATTGAGGATGAATTCACAACTAAGACATCAGACCATGTCCTCTCAAAATTCAAGTGAGAGGACACAGAGATCACAGGGATTCCACCACAAGAATAAAAGACATAGAAAGCTAAAAGGAATGCAGAAATACACTCACAGATATGCATGTCAAGTTTTCCCATCAACAAACTGGTACCATACTTCAGATGCATGGTACTGTCGTTGAAATGGCTAAAACCAGATTTTGACTTTCATATTTTCTTTTCAAAAATTGCAGCACTCCATTTGAACTTCAAATGCTCCATGAAGACAGCAGAGGATTTATTTTGTCTTTTCATCCTCACCTCTCTGAAGTGAATGTACTCGAGCAGTGAATCCTCCCAATCAAGCTGAAGACTCTTTGGAAGTGATTTCAGCTTCAGTTTCTCCATTAAGGCCTCAGTGGATGGATAGAATTTCACCTGCCAAGGCAAAAAACTCCATGTTATTCATCCATACAAGTTATTCATTCAGGGAGCCAACCAGTGATAAGAGTTAATCATTTTCATCAGTTATAGGTGATCAATTATCATGCAAAAGACAGTCATCCCTTTCATTTGTCTGGGAGATACTATGAATTCATCATCTACTTTGCATCAAATTCAGCACAGAGGTCAGAAAATATTTTATTAGCCTTATCTTCAGCAATAAATTATACAGATTCTACAACAGCACATAAGCACAGATGTCATTCAGACCAATCAAACTGAACAATGCCCCAATATTTAATCAAGACAGGTTTATTATGTACAGAGCCCCTAATATGTAAGGGAAAGCATTAAGAACATGGAGCAACCAAGTTAGTTAGCAACCATGGAGTAGACCAATGGCGGTTGTTGATAATGCTGCTGGATCATTGGAAAGTTGACTTCACTCTCTAGCTCTTCTTATACACAAAATATTGATACCAGCCTTATTCATCTCTGCCACAAAAAAGAGGAAAATTTACAAGGGATACATAGACAATGCCTTATTGGGCTTGAATACTTTTGCAAGCAAAACTAACAGTATGTTTGTTCACTTGTAGACATCAGGCAGACATTTCAAAGTAACTCTAATAGGTAAAACATCTTGCCCTAAATAATGACCCTGAGTGCACCTCAGTTCTCAATTGAGTAAAAGTTACGTTGAGTTCATAAAGAATGCACTTTCAAGTAGTGATACTATGTAAGTTGTGCAAAAAAGTGTAACAACAATGATTCCATAAGCCGTCCTGACAAACCACTGATTACTTTTCACTGTTATACAGGGTGTCCATTGTGTTACGAAAAACATGAAAATTCATATCACCCTTAATATTCAATGTATGGAAATGCATTTTCAGGCATTCCTTTAAAATGTGATCAAGTTTTTTCTTAGCACAAATTAGACAGTAAACTTTGATGTACAAAGCTTTAGCAAAATTAGTTTGATAGAATCAATCAGATTTACCTGATATTGTTAAATATATGTGATTTCATACTTGATATAAACTGCAGCCAGGCTAGGAAGAACTTTAAAAAGGAACCTAAAAGAAGGCAGATTTTCCAGAACAGGAAATTTTAAAATAAAAGTAACTGCTCTTTTTGATAACTGAAAGATTGCAATTGTTCTAAGATGAAAAGAGATTACTTCTTCCCACATAGTATTTATTATGGTCAACCCACATCAATGACAACCTATGCATGGTTTCCTTTTGATATTACCTGAAATTTAAAGTATCTCAACTGATAGAAATTGTAATTATGAGCTTTGCTATGTCCTCCATGTATATGTTTCATACGTAAAATATTTCGCAATCTTTAGCATTAAATTGAAAATAAAGAAAAATAAATGGTAATTTGACAGAGAAATTAAGGTACATTTTTATTTAAAATTATATATTTAAAATAATTCCGAATATTTCTGTAAGAGGCAATGAATAAGATCCCAGGAAAGAAAGCATTATGTTACTTAACTTAGCTTTCCTCAGCAAAGTCCCAACTACAGACTAAGCAGTTCAATACTTCGCAGAACTTGGCAATTACGCTCCCATATGATCGAGAAGCATCTTTGCTGGAAGGGGAGTTGATTCAGGATTCGAGAGAGTGAAACTGTTGAATCTGAAGCAAGTTCGAATAATTCACTATTTTTTGCATGATCACTCTCTACCTCTATTACCATTATTTTCAAACCTTTTGAAGTAGAGAAAGCTAGAAGTGATGAATAGGATGAGTGGGAACTGACCTCGAGACCAAGAGATTTGAACAAGGTCTGGACTCTTGGTTCACTTTCTCCAGCACCGAATATCACTAGCAAAGGCAAGCGCGGCAGCCGCACCTGAGGTAAACGACGAAGTCTGTGTTCAAGGTCCATGCGTGTTTGACACGGATATGGACGATAACCTATACTTACGTGGATTTGTTGGAGGGATTGTGTGAGGCAACAGAGCGAGCTCTCGTCATTGGATTCTCCTACACCCACCAGGACAAGACCCTTGCGAGCCACGTCTTTCCTGCAAGAGCAACTTTCAAATAACAACCATCTTGGAATCAAGAAGAAGCAACTCTTGAAGACATTCCTTTCCCCTCTTGTCAATGAAATTCAAGGGAATATATGAGGGACTATCAAACAGTGGAAACAGTTTTGGAAATTTAATTTGTATTTAAAAAACTAGAATCACTATAATCATGCTTTTTTCATGAGAGAAAAAAAGTATTTTAAAAGTAAAAAGAGTCTTCACAGTATTAGAAGTAATATTGCAAAATGCATCTACAGTACATCGTCAAGCAATAGTGCATTGTTTCCTCGTGAAATTTTAAGCATATCATGAATCTCTTTTGCTGTTTCCAAGATCTTATCACGTAATTTGCCTTGCACTCCAACTTCATTTCGACAACAGAAATGTAACTGCACCTGTAACGAGACAAAATATATTATCCATAATACAGTAAAGGCACTTGGCACATACTGAATGATTGTATTTTTTGGGCTTTTGAGATAAAAATATTTTTTCATAACTTTTTGGTATGCCCTCTTGTTTCTTCAATACATGAGAATAATCTCACCGAATGGGAGTTTGATTATTCAAGCCTTATGCAGCGGCAGACCAGAGCTGCTCAAAGTGAAAAAAGACTTCAAAATTAAATTCCGTCTTGGAAAACATAATTTTGCGATAAGTACCTCCAACTTCATCATTGACACGAATGTTGCAACTGCTCCTATGAAACCATAAATGAATTTTCAATACAGCAAGCTACGGTCTCATTTGGTGCTTCGCCTTTATATTTGTTCTGCTTTGATCCTTTGCAGCGAATGAGAAGAGCCTTTTCGTCATGATGGTATAAATCTACTCCTCAGCTATCACGTAAACTAGACGCGGAATCGCATTTCATCGCCTTCCGCATACAAGACGAATGAAAAGAAGGGAAGGGCGGAAGGCAGGAAGGAAGCTAGTCTGAACATGTCCACGTCCTGTGAAGTCAGGCAGGCCCATACAAGTTTATGCATAGTATATGCCTGAGCCTCAGCCCCCAGGACATCGTCCCCGCATACTTGATAAGGGATCGCCCAGCTCTAATCTTGCAAGCTTATTATCAATGGATTCTTCCCAACAATCCGCAACTCAAGTGCTGACTCAGCCCCGGGCGATTGTCACAGAGATATTGAAGTTGTCTGTTGCCTTGGGTCTCACAAGTATGTATTATAGAAGAGGTGGTTTTCCGAAGAGGAAACTCTTCGGGAGGACTTGGAGTTACAAATGCCTCATGAATGTAAATGTATACGTGTAGAAAGAAGCGAAAATGAGGGGAGGATGAAGTGAAGATGAAAGCAATTCCGGAAAAATGGCTGCACTTATGTTTGCCATCAGATTCCCTCTTAGTTATTCGAAGAAGGGAGGGAGGGACCAACCTAGCGACTGGAGACGAGGGACTAGGAAAGGCAGGGCTCAGAAGCATATCAGTTACGCAAGGCCACTTCATCATCATCAGGATTGACATGCCAGCATTGGGCACCCCACCCTCCACTCTCCCGCTCACACCTTCCTAATTAGATCTTCACGGTAAACAATGCTGGCTGTTGCTGAGACCCCCTGCAAACAATCCCCGTCATTAGCACTTGTACATATTCGAGCCCAGAGAGAGAATGCCTAGTGGAGGTGCTATGATGATGGCTTGGGCGAACATCACGACGACTGGAATGGCAGGAGTCTCTGCAAGTCATCATATTTCTCAGCTCCCCCAACTTCCCTTTCTTCTACTTCAGATTCTTTCCTTCCCCTCCCCCCTCCCGACGCATAGTGAAGGGGATTGAATGATGTGGGGAAGAGACTCAGAGGGAGATGGAACAAGTGATGAATATCGAACGCGAGTCAAGGAACAATCGTCTCGTCTGTCACCCTGAGTCCGTTGACGCTGAAACTGAGATGTGAACTCATACATCTTCCTCATTCAACATACGAGTCTTACACGTCATCATGAAGCACATTTCTCCGGGACTTTTGGGGTGAGTACGCTAGGAGGGGAAAGCATGGAGACCGATTAGGATAATGAGATCTAACAAGAAGTTTGACGCTCCCAAGTCCTGATTCACGAGGCGCATATAAACAGTGGAAGACGAAGAGCGGAAGAAGAAAAGGAAAGGAAAGGAAGAGGGGGAGTGGAGGGTGGTCCTGTTTCTTGGACCACCCCAGTGCAGGCTGCCAGACTTCATGGTCCACACTATGAGGTCACCGCCATCTTTCTCTCTCTTCATAATAGTCGTCGTAATTCCATCAACCTCCGAGGAGAGAGAAAGAAGAGAGACTTGAAATATAACAGTGAGGAGAGCGAGAGAAAATTTGAGACAAAGATAGGCACGTTGAGGGCTGGCCACGCATCCATGCGTTAAAGCAGACACTCCGGGAAAAAGTCCTCCTCTAATTATGACGGATGATCTCGTGCTCGGAAATGGGTCCTCTCCAAAATCATACCATGACCATTAGAGGGGAGTCCCTAATTGTATATCATAGGGCAACTAGAACAAGAACCATCAGATATTTCTTTTTGCGTTTGTGTTCTCGAGAGATAAAAGTACGAAAGGGTAATGGAATTGACAGTTTCCCTTCTCACAATAGCAGGGAGAGTCCAAGGTCTCGCTTGAGCACAGGGGTCAAACCTCAAGGTTTTATAATTCCTGGTTCACAGGCATCAGACTAACTCCCCTCTCCAATGAAGCGACAGGATTCCTGAGCTCCTTGTAGAAAAACTGACCGTAAAGTCGAGATGGAGTACAGGAGAAGAGAGGCGAAATGCGAGGCTGGCACGTGTTCCGTCCATCGACGAAAGTCCACTCTCACAATTGTCCTCCCATCCCCCGTTCGATCACCTGATACAACATAATGAGACACGAGTGAGTCAAGAGATGCCTTCGCAGGGTTCCTGCACACTGGATGCTTCAAGCAGCTCAAATCAAACTGCCAAGGCATGCCCAGAACACATAAGAGTATACGTAAGAGTAGATTTTGCCCCTAAAAGATTATATCCGAAGACTACGCGCGGAAGTCTTTAATTTGAAGGAGATGGAGAACAAGAAATCACTCGTCTGAGTCAAAATAATGTCTCAAAAACTAAACAAGTAAACTGTGTCATCATGGCCGCAACTTCTAGTCAAATCATGAAAACTGATGCCAAACTACAGTGCCCATGGCGCCCGCCAGTTTCTGGCTTCTTTCAGGGATTTTTTTATTTTTACCCCCCATCGCCATACTTTCTTGAGCAAACGAGGAAAAATATCTATCCCCTATTAGTCTTCAGTCAGCATGAAGCAGCTTTTCGTTAAGCAGCAGCCGTTATCTTCAAGCCGCTTCAGTCAGCTACAAAGTGCCTTTACGCATGACCGCGGCAGTGTGAAGGGACGATTGGAAACAACACGTTCACGTTCCTTTGGCGTTCTAGTGTCTGGTGTCTGTTCTTATCGGGATTGATACTCCTTCATGCTGTTGGAAGCAGATTCTGCTTTGACATCCGATTTAACCGAGAAACAAGCAGACTTGAAGTGGATCCACAAGCTGGATCCACGTACCGGTGGTCCGAAGAAAACCAGAATGAAGGGCAGTTTTAGGGACATGGTGAATGGATGTAGGGCACGGTCGGGTTCGTGAAGGATCCTCTGCCTCTGCCTCTGCCTCTGCCTCTGCCCCTGCCCCTGCCTCTGCCTCTGCCCCTGCCTCTGCCTCTGCCTCTGCCTCTGCCCCTGCCCCTGTCTCTGCCTCTGCTTCTCCCTTCTCTGCAAAATCAGCAACAAGCCCCCATAACCTTTTGCACATCCCCCTGCAACACTCGTTTCTTTCCCATTCGGAGGGATGGGGAGGGAAATAAGTGCAGCTGGGGGGGGGGGGGGGGGGGGGGAAAGCAGATGATGGGACATCAACATGTGCATTGTCATGCATGGCAGCACATGTCATAGTGTGTCTACTGTGTTGGTCCATCCAAGCCCAGCTGCCATGGAACCCGTTCTCCTCGCTTTGATCGGCCACCTGAGGCTTCTCATCAAAGGTCCCGCAACTAAGCCATCACGAAAATGGACGATGGATCGGGCACAATGGCAAAGTCATGAATTATGATGCCACGGCCAGTCAGGTTTTTTTTTTTGACAGGGGTTCAATCTGGCCTGACTTCTAATGAGCCTGGCTCCCTTGACCCCTCATGCTGTGACTCGGACAATGCAATGTGCTAAAGTCCATAGAAAGAGGTCTTTGTCCGCATCTAAGGTCCGGGGTCTCCCCATCTTGACACTTACATCACGTTTCTGGACCTCATCAACCATTGAGCTTAGTCTTGGACGAGATCCGCTACTTTCTTATCGCAGAAAAAAACTCCTACCTGTCCAAGACACCCCTTGTGTTTATTTTTAAACCTCCCATCTACACGAATCACACTCAAGGGCAGACATATTGAACTTTGAAATACGCTCTTGGGACCGAATGCACCCGCAATGTATGGAGGCCTCATGTGAAGACAGCAATTAGATCTACAAACTAGTCAACATATGGCAGGCGCATTAAAAGTTGTATATAGAAGCTGTAGCTCTAGAACAACAGATATTATTAAAATTGCGTTCTTCCCCATTTCAACATGTCTCAAGTGACGCAGGGAGGGTTAGATAAATCAAGAGATTTGTGCGGGTACAAAGAACATATGCAAGAATATTCGTGAACTTCCAGCCGTCCTCATATTGAGGTTAATCTGAAATATGCCAGTCATAACGACTGCTTATAATGAATATTAGTGGAAGATCGTGTAAACCCTAAGTGCCTGCAGCCTTCGGTGGTCAAGAGTCCAGAAGGTTATTCTGTGATTTGATTTCGCAGATCTGGGAGTTCAATGTGCATTCAGAATATTCGTTTGGTCCATCCCGCAAGAGCGAGTCAAGAATCCCCCCCGAGTGATAGATATACGCGGTAAAAAGCCATAAAATGGAGCCGAAAACGAATTTCCATAGAAAATGAATCGAGTGCCTTGCAGGGAAGGGAGGAAACCATGCCTCCGGGCCAGGAGTATCTCCATGCTCACTTAGGCGTGTCCGCGGTTTTTTATCCAGGGTCTCAGTGACCCAAGATAGAAATTCCACTAGGCATACAACTTCAGCGAAGGGGGATATCTAAGTCACTCCTCTCTCCAACGTTAATCATGGGAGTTAAGGAGATGAGATAGAAAAAAAAATTGTTTCTACTTACCTGGAGTGGGAGAAGTAGAAGAGCTGGTTCTCTCTGTGCCTCTTTCGTCTCCAGAATTGCCTTCTTTTTCCCTTTCCTTTTCCTCTTCCTTCGCTTTGGTTTCTTCTCCGATTTCGACTGAAGAGTTGGCCAAAGCACTCCGGGACTCCGCTTCCTCCTGATCTTCCTCATCACTAGCTTCGCTGTCGATATGTGGAATGATGGATTCAATTTCGTCGATGGGGCTTGTCTGAATAGACGAATCCCGTCTGTCGATCAGCCGCTTGCTGCTCATGCACATTTGGCACACTTTCTTCACCTCGGCCTCTTCGCAGTTCTTCTCACAGGAAGAGACGGGGAATTTTCTAAACTCGGCTCCGTGCTCCATGCTCAGCAATAAAGTATCCAGCATGGAGGTCAGGCATTCCTCGTCATCTGAGTCTTCCTCCTCTTCGTGAAGATCTCTGGCATCCATGTTGAAATTCATGAAAAGTCTGGACAGCTGCTTCTCTCTCACCGGTCTCTGGTGAATGATCCCTCTGAGCTTGTAAGTGAGAATGCACTCTACTCCAACATCATGAAGGCTAGGTTGAAGGCACAAATATCCGTGACCATCCTCGAGAAACGTCTCGTGGTCCACACGTCCAAGGTTCAAGATAACACCGGATCCATGACTCAATAATCCCTCGACTTCACCTAGAACCTGTTTCCCGAAAAGAAAGAGAAGTGTAATCCCATATGCCAGTAGCGGTTTGGGACGTGAACCACAATATATACACCTAGGCCCAATAGGACTCTGGGTTTCGTGACGCATAAGTCATGCAAGGCTCTGGTACAAGTGCAAGTCAGCTTCAGCCTCTGGACTAATGCGCCCAGTCAATTACGGAATAGAGCACTCCTTCCTCCTAGTAGGCACTGCTCTCATCTCATAAGTTATCGTGCATCATCAGAACTGATCTACACATCACTCTAAGAAGGTTGGGGCAGTAAACCACGTAATTTTCTATATAAATTTTCTTGAGGCAGCGGGACAGATCATTTCGTGGGACTAACATGAACGTCTTTGTCAACCATGATAAGTTAGAATGCTGCAGGACGCGAAATTATAAATCGCCTTTTTCTCCTACCGGTGATTTAAAACAATTTGACCTAATATGATCGTGACAGAGACCACGACTTCGTGTCAACGCCTACTGTTCTCCCTGAATCCCCTCAGCCCTCATCCATCCTGGTGCAATTAGGTATTCTCAAATCTGTCCGGTATGCACCACTAATTAGTTAATGTCTTGTAATCGCTGCAGATGAGGATCATTATGCGAGCACGGGGAGTCAGGGCTTCGACCGCGCGAGGAATGTGCTTAAGACCGCAAATGCTCCTTCAAATCATCATTCATTCCCAGTTTGGACTGTCAGATGAAAAGCTGTTGAATCTCCCAGTCTGAAAATGGATTGTCATGATAGAGCCACTAGGGCTTTCCTGCAAGCTTGTCACCTCTGGCGTTCATCATGAGTCAACGTAATTCTTTTCCGCAGAAGAAACCTTCTTACTTGAACTCCAATCCCGGCTGTCGTGAGGGAATGTAGAATTTCTTACTCTCTTATTCTCAACGAAGGGGAGATACTACCAGACCCCCCTAATTAGCACATGCCACGGAAACCGACATCAGACTGAGGGATATTAGCCATGTCCTAAGTGCCTGCGATCTTTCTTGAAGGAAGAAAGGCGGCAGAAGACGACGTGCGATGAGGGGAATGAGAGGACATGTCATCTATATGGTATTTGATTTCTCGTCTATGAGGGGGAGAGACGAATGCGGTTGAGCAATCCATGGAAGGGGTCCCGGAGTGCTTTGGCCAACTCTTCAGTCGAAATCGGAGAAGAAACCAAAGCGAAGGAAGAGGAAAAGGAAAGGGAAAAAGAAGGCAATTTGGGGGGGGGGGGGGGGGGGGGGGGGGGGGGGGGAGAGATGGGAAATCCAGGTCGCCTGTAAACCAACACTATCCGCTCCTCAAGGAGTCTCTCTCCTTGCTTTTGGTTTGTCTTCACTCCACTTGCCTCTCTCTCTCCTTCCAATGCTCCAACAACCGTGACCAAGCATTACTCATCGGGATCGAAAAAAGACCCACCTCATCTTTAAACCACCCACTGAGCTCCAGTCTCGTCGAGTACTTGACTGAGCTGCAACGACCTGAACCTGAAGAGAATGTATGAATGACAGCAGGAGGGAAGGTCAACCCACATAACTCCCTCTCCTTCCAGGGACTCCTAGTGGTTGCCATTTAGGAACTAGGTCAACTCAGGAAAGATGACGGGAGTACTGGTGAAGAGGGGGGATCGCTGTCACACACTACAAGGTGGCTAAATGTACGAGGGTATGACTCAGCATCAAGAACTATAGCATAGGGAGACGAACCGTGAAAAGCAAGGACAGGGAAACCACAAACGCGTACCAGGATGTTCTTTTTCTCGGGTGCATCTACCATTCGATGGTACAAAGGCACGGTTGACGTATGGGGTGAGCTCACCCCTTCGCATCATGGCTTCGACATGATTCAGGCAGTTTTATAGCGTAACAATACAGTAACCAAGCCAGACTATTCTGTGCGGAATGTAACGAAACCAAAGCAAAAAACTAGGAGTATCGTGTAACAGTACCCTATCAAGTCGAATTGCGCTCATTTGCAAAGTTGCTGAACCGTAGTTTTATAACAAAAACAAACCTTTTATTTTAGAAACTGCAGTCAATTACTCTTTACACTATCGCTATCCAATCTTGGGTTATAGGTTCACCGGTCAAGAGTGTCTCCTAAATAGACAACCTGTTCCATGCATTTGGCAACTCTGGACCGTTTCAATGGCGGTCTTAGTGAAGGGAAAGCTACCAAGTCATAGCGTAATGACTAGTAGTGAAAGCAGGAAGGCTCAGCATTAAGGCAATTGAATGTCGAGCACAGAAGTTGCGCTTAAGTTGACGACGAAGGGGGATTCCTCGTCCTCCTCCCCTCCCCGCGTACATTCCTGGCAATGACCATGGCTTTCTTGCGGAATAGAACACTCGAATACAAGGAATCGATGCTAACCATAACTCTGATCGTCATCTGCTCGATCTTCATCATAACCCATACTCATAACATATGACCCTATAATTCTATTAATACATCAGATTTCAGGTTGGAGATCTTTCGCTTAAATAAATTGCTGTCGCTTAGAACAGGTGACGCTGTGACATGAAACCAATATGGGGCTTGCAGCCAAAATCAGAAATACCTGTATATTAAGTGTGAAGGAAAGACGAAAAAAACCTGATGAATTCAAAGAAGGGGATTTAAAGGCTAAAACTAAATGGAGTTTGTACGTATGTACATTGGAGACTGCACGCAGACGTGAGCTTAACCTGATGCCGACGGGAAAAACGGCTTCAGAGTCCATGTTTCTGCAAAAGTCTAAAATGTTCTCTATCTCCTGCCAGTTCAACAATGCGATGACGATTTCCCCCTATGCGTGGTTCCATTGCGAAATTGGGTTTTCCACATTTTTTCTGACATGAGCTGCACACCCTCCACAAACTACAGTCATTCCTAAAGCTCTGGTTGGGCTTTGGAAAATAAAGTGCCAAGTTTCGGTATCATTTATGAGTAACTTAACGATTGCATGAAGGTTACATCGTAACTTAACAATGCTGGAAAGATACTTCTGAGCAATAAACGTTACGATTGCGGAATTGTACGAACTCTAAAAGCGTAATCGTAATTGTAAAGAAAAAAATCGTATATAATATTACATGCACAGCTCTAGTTTCAGGATTTGCATTTTAGCGCTCTTGTGAATCTACAGAGGAGAGATTGAGAACCATGGGCAGTCATACGGAACCAAGACGATCGGGGCATCAAAAGACTCTGACCGTCAATTAAGTAGTTGGGGAGAAATCGGAACTGTGATCTCACTTTTGCATGCACATTGAAATTTCCATAGTCTAGAAGAAGCAGGGCAATGAATGACGGAAAGGGAAGAGCCTAGGGACAAGAAAGATGAGGGAAGGCCGAAGGAAAGATGGAGGGAAGGAGACTTCGTCGCTTGGGGGATAAATGAGGAATGGGAAATTAATGGGAAGGGGCAGAATTTTTTTTTTCACCAGGCTGCTGATCATCGAACTTCTCATCCAATTAACCCCCGAGTTTCCCAGCTCGGTGAGAGGATACTCACACGCTTGAATGTGAAGCACTTCCTTCTCTCTTTCTCGGCCTCTCACCTTAATACTGTACATTTCATGCGCCAAGGCATTCTATAACGAAACACACCCCCTCTCACTCAATATCACCAGTCTCTCCGATATCCTTGGATCTCGTGCAAGAGTTTGTGAAATAAGACTGAAGTTAGTTCAAGAGTTTCAATAGACCTACAGCAATTCCCTCTAACTTTCACCAGAGCCATTCGTCAAATATTGATAGATATAAAGCAATTTCCCCAATCAGTTCATACCCTCACGAACTTTTTTTTCATGGGGAAATCCTCTCACCTCCTTGGACGCACCGGGGAAAGTGGTATGAATTGAAAATTTGCACATTTTTACAGACCTAGTAGGAAAGGCTGCTTATGGTACAATTGGGTCGGTGCTTTAAATTTAACTCATTTACTTTCGCTCCCTCGAATACCGAAAGGAAATCACCAAAAGGCCTAACTCAAAGCTAATGAGTACGATACACTATCAATCTAGGCTGTACCGGAAGTGTTCATATTAGCGGCTACACAGCGTTCCTTTATGCATCACGCAATTCATCTACAAAAATTCAAATCACCTGTCCCAATGACACTAATGAGATCATTTTCAAAACAGTTATACCCACAGGCGACTGATACGAGCACGTCCAGCACGATATCAGAGCGGCATGTCACCTGATCAAGCCTTATACGCATGCATTCAGCCCGAGTGTTCTGACAGAATATGTGGCAGGCAAACAACGGAAACAATCAAAGCATCACTCATCATAAGATGTAGCAGCATGACGCTAACTGAAGGCGCGACATACACAACACAGGCAAGGCTGGAGGCGGCGAGGAAACTGAAAAGACCCTGGGTCTGTCGAAGCAAGCCGACGGAAAACACCTGTGCAGGAAGCAACATCTGCAGCCGAACTTGGCGCAATGTTTGCAACAAGGGTCATGGGAAACGGGGGAGAATATGAAAGAATGTGACACGTATAAAGTCGCTCACATTAAGCACGACCACGAGAATAGCAGGAGAAGGATCAAAGGCATAACCACAGCAGCGGAGAACAAGCGAGCGGAGGGACTGACCGAGCCCGAATGGCGAGGGATGAGGAGGCCGGAGGGGACCAGGAGGGGGAAACTCCTGTCCCTCAGTGCCTTTGCCTCAGTCCTCACCTCGTAACGGACCGGATCCTCGGTCCCTTGGACGCGCTGTCTACTCAATTCCCAGGTCTCATCGCATTTTTCTTCTCCTTCTTCAGCCTTGGTACCACCCTAGAGATTATGTCCCGATCCTCGGAACAGCCTCATTGGTGTAGCCGATGTCAAGCGGATCATGGGAGAGGGACGATGCCCCGTGAGTCTCACAAAGAGCCACGACGAAGCACATTTCGCAATACCCTGCGATCTCCAAACATACCACAAGCCACCGTACTATAGCAGCACACGTGATCGCAAACCGAGATATTTGCAAACCACTATAGAAGTCAATGCGAAAATGACATCAGCTCGGGAAACAAAGGAACGCCACTCCAGACTCCGCTATTCGCTATATGATTCGTGCCGGAGTGAAGAAATTACTCCCACCAATCTGAGACGGATAGAGGCTATGTGTATTCCGGCATCATGATTCAGCTCTGCCGCCCGCATCCTACCATATGTCATTAGCTGCTGCGTGCTGCAGAATACGTGGCACATAGCACGATGCCAAGTAAAGACACGTGCTTCATAATGATCCCAAAGTTAGGGTGACAAACCACGTGTGCAACAAAACCAACTCTTTTCAAAAGAGCCTTAGGGTGGATTTTTGAACAGAGCATTATCCGATAATGCAGCTTTATTTCGGAGAAAATGCATTATAAATCCGGTAAATAAAGCTGCATTATCGGATAATGCTCTGTTCAAAAATCCACCCTTAATTTCTGTAACTGACCTATGAGTCGCTTTTATATTGTAGAACCTCGCCAGAATATCGTATATGTGACATACGAAATTAATTACTCAAATGTTCCAGAAATGTCATTAGGCCTGAAATAACACCTAAACGCGCTAAAGAACGACCTTATATAACCGGGAAACTGAAGGCATGACCAAATATAATATTCAAACATGCAGATTGAGTTACTAAAGGAAGAAAGCTTATCTGTCTTCTTGGAGGCACAGGGAATATGCATAGGCCATAACTAATATGGTACTTGAGATAGGATGATGAAAACATGCCTTCACTCCAATGGACACTAATATCGTAGTAGCACTAACTTCACGTTAGTTATGGCCTGTGCATACATACATGGGGCCATAGTTAAGGAGAAGCGTTGAGACGCAGCTCAAATGATCAGGCGGAAAGCAGAACGTTTTCTTTACTGCACCGCGTAATTGGAGAACGGAGTCGGCAATATCGATCGAAACCTTTTTTTTATTTTAAATAGATCTCATTCTTTAAGTAACGGGCGTATTGGGCAAATTCCTGAAACTGAGCAAACCGAGTAGAACACAATCCTGTTACTTATAAGATTTGGGGATTTCGTTCCCTTCAAGAAGAGTAATCGGAACACCGATATACCTCTTCGAAGAACGATGTTTCTTCATGAAAACCCGACTGCTACTCATGACCAACTTGTGGTTATACAATAGAGAGGGATCAAACAGAAGCGTCGCGCCAAGCAGTAAGGAAAGGGGAGGGAGGGAGGGAGGAAGGAAGGAAGTGGAAAGGATGGACGTGCCGTGGGCATCGCCTTTCAACCTCTTCCACGCATGTTTTCTGAATGAAGTGCCTACAGTCCCTTTGTGCTCGACTCTCTCCCCCCTTCTCTGGCCCCCTCCCTACATTCCCCCTTCGCACTTGCTTTCCAAGCCGTCGTACGAACAGCAACTCCATGTGCAATGTGCACTCCCTCATTACATGAGGTCAAAGGCCTCCCCGCTATTCCTCTCCTCTCTCTCCAGCGTTCCCTATGCAACTGCAAGTCTGCGAATGAGGATGCTCACGACAGGCCCCTGGGGAAGGAAACTTGTGACTCTCCAAGGGGGAGGACAACCCAGAGCGAGGTGTGACAAATGAGGGGAAGGCAATGAATAAACCGCACGAAGCCGAGTGATAAGCATCCGTAAGACGCCGCATCGGTTCTGAAAGTCAAGGGAAAAGAGAACGTTATTCTCTCCTGAGTACAATGCGAATGAGATGATATCAAAAAAGGGAAAGTTCAAGTCCAACACATTTTCTCACATGATGGAAATGCAAACAAAAGTATCATTAGGCAGTGGTCGCCTTGGAGGTCAGGCTTGACCCAGAACAATGGAATTGAAAATCTCTACGAAATTGCTGGTTGGAGAAGAGAAAGGAAAAGTGCCGAAATGTCTTCAATCTAATTTCTGACAATGGCCTGACTTTAGTTCGAACATAATAAGACTGCGAAGAGAATGCTGTCATTCACTCCTCTTGCGGTAAAAGGAGCCTCCGCAGGAGCATCATGATGACAGGGCAAGTCTTTCGTGGATAGATGCCAAGTTGATTGGAAAAGGGTTATGTCAGGTATCGTGCTTCGATCATACATATCCTACCATAGGCCTCTCTGAGGTTTCTTCTTCCAAGACAAAAAAAATACAACCAGACTTCAGAGGAACTGCATTTACAGGCATGGACAAATACACCGTCCTAAATATAATAATAATCAAGCTTTTCAGCTTTGCAATTACACATTTGTAATTTTCGGGAGACTAATTTTGATCACGCTAATGTTTTTTATTCTTGGAAAGAAGCCTTAGCAAGAGCTGGCTCCTTCAACATTACACAAAACTTTCTTCTAGTCATCCCCCTACAAGCTTCAACACTCAAAGTTTGTTTTAATCGGGGGATTTTCTCGGGAATATAACCCCGTGGGTATTTGACTAGATTTCTTTGGAAAGAATCACCTAATGATCAAGAAACTTTAATCTCTTTTTTTCACAAAATACCGAGTTCCTGTACCAAATTTCACCAATTCTGATTTTTTGGCGATGAATATATGTGTAATATTTAGCGAAATATACTGCTATCCAAACGTTTTTACACACTCAAACTTCTCAGCCCTTGGAGCACGAACTATAAACACTTTTATATCCCAGAGTGATAATTCTGCCAGTGAAAGAAAAAGTCATCCTAGAGTATGAAATTCTGCGGATGAGAGTTCCCAGTACTGAAAAATAAAGTCAAGAAAAGCGAGCTAGCTTACGCGGTTAGTAAGCTTCCAGAAGTAAGAATAATTAGCCGCTTGAGTAGTAGGATTTAAAATTAAAAAGTTAGGGTGCACTTGAAATGCCTTGTTCCAAGTTGATTGAGTTTTAAACCGATACGTAGCACTGCCTCATTGATAAGCTTGAATAATAATAAAAATTCCATCACGTTTATCTTGGTGGAAGCATTAGCAGTCCCATACAAAAATTCCTCATTTTCACCAGTACTCTCTCTCTCTCTTCAGATCTACAATATCGCTATTTGCGCCGCGTATTTTGTAAGACGTCATGAGGTAGTTCTCGCTTCACCAGCTCTACATGCAATGTACGGCAAAATCGAAGTTTGATACATTTAATAGATTTTGAACGCAAGAGACATAAGGCCCATACCGTACGAGGACCTGTGAAAAGGTCTTGGAAAGTCACTCCAAGGTGACATGGCCCCCTTCAAAGTAGTTCTGAGAGCACATACACTTCTTCCAGCAAGTGTGCAACAGTTGCAAATACGTCTGCAGTCCACCCTTCGAAAGAGTTCGCAACTCACTTGTCGTGGCACTCCTGGTTGCTTCCTGATAGACAGATTTGCTTCCTTTCAACACGGACTTGAGCCGCAGGAAGAGGAATAAGGTACAGGGTGCCAAACCCATGAATAGGGTAAATGGCTGATGGTAGTGACCGAGCGGCATGCCAAAAATTCCACCAAAGATGTGATCGCTGCAGCAATACAACGCGCGCGTGAATGCGTCATCGTCGTGTCCAACTTTCTGGACATGAACCCGGCGATTGGATCTAGTCAAGCGTGACTCGTTTGTACTTGGGTCTCTTCGTGAAACAGAGTACGTACTTGCCTCGGGACCGAAGCCCTTGAAGCGACAGATGGTTTTGGCCCTATGAGGTTCCTCTAGAATGTGAACCTCAAAGAGAATGTATGCATGTATGTACTAGCAAGGAATTTGATTTGCAAGTTTATTTTCTCTTGGACTACTTCAACTCATTAAATAAATTTCCTTCATTCTTTTGGAATTGACTATGAGAACTCGAACTGCGGCGAGCAATCATTTTTGCGCTGGTTCTGAGATGTCTCAGATGCACTCTAGTTAGTTTATTTTATATCATACTATATCTCTACGTGTTATCTTATCTCATATGAGAATGTAGTCCAGCATGTCAAATTCTGTGAAGACAATGTTCCCTTCCAGACCACAAAACATGTAACGATATAAAGATAAGATAGTGCGAATCGTAGAGCAAAGGGCTCTTTCTTCTACAGTTTACCCTCCTCATAACTCATGTTCATGGAATCACACGAACTCTAATATACATATACTCCTTTGCTTCGCCAAGTTCTCCGAGATCACGAATTTACATGAAGTCTTCGATCCAGTTCCTCCCGGAAATCAGGAAGTACACCCTATAGTCTTTCCTGCCAATAAAACCCCCACAGTTACGGCTTCGATGTGTCAGGTCCAAAAGGAACCTCGGTCATATAATACTGTACACCTTGATCTCCTCGCCTGAAAAGATGGGGGATGGAGAATTTCTTCTGGAAAATCAGGGTTGCCAAAATTTTCCTTTAATCGCAGCATGGACTCAGATCCCAGCTGCTGCGAAATAAGTCTCTGGGCAACCTAATCGATTTCAGGGCTGCTCTAAGTCTAGGTCTAGGCCTCGGTCGAAACGCATTCGTGCATATATTCTGAAATTAATTTTGAACAATTGAACTAGGGGAATCATGGCGTCTTGCTAATTAATGACCTGAATCTCAGGAATACTCTTTCCCAGGAAAATTTGTTTTCGAGACATAGCTTTTGACTGCGTCTTTCACCGCCCCATCCACCAAATCTTTTGTCCTCGAGTTTTTGTCTTTTGCCGCCGAATAGATTGTACCTGTTGGGAATCTTTTTCTGGCGACCGAATCTAGAGCAAAAACTACAGAACTGATTTTGGCAATTAAGATATCGTTGACTCGTTTTGATCTTTTAGTGCTCCTTTTGGGGGTCCCAAGTATATGGATTCGGTACTCAAAGTACCAAATAGTATGCATATATAATTACGTAGATAATGGAGAAAAGATGCTAAATGCTAACCAGATTAGACAGCAAATTTTCTCAAGCTACAAGAATGATTATTTCACGTGAATTGTGGCATAATGAATTGCTTTTGGGTCATAATGAAAGTAGATGGTTCAAGGTTAGGAGCACCTTCT